CTATGTTCCAGAAATGAGCCACAGCTTCAAAGTAGTCCTTATTGAAATTCCAATTAAATTCTTCCCAGAAACTGAATTGATATGGAAGGAGAAAGGACATAGAATAGCAGAGCCCTGCTGGAGGCACCACAACACCTAACTTTAAATTAGATTACAGAGCCCAGTGACAAAGACGACATGGCACGGACAGAAAACCTGACATGTAGATCAATGGAATAGAATAAAGTATCCTGAAATAACCCTCCATAGCTGCAGCCTTGACAATGCTGTCAAAGGACTCACTGGAAGAAAGCCTCTCCAACAAATGGTGCTGAGAACACTGGGTGTATACACACAGGCAAGAATGAAACCAGGCACAAAGCTTTCTCCTGCAGGAAAAAAAAATCAATTCAAAGTGTAACAAAGACTTTAACATAAAACCTGAAATTCAGAAACTGTTAATGAAAACCCTGGGTAAAAAACATTAAAAATATAGACATAAGAAAGGATAGTTTTGAAGCACTGTAAATCGTACAGAAAGTAGTTCCAAGATAAAATGGGATTGCATGAAATTGAGATACTTCTGCAAGGCAAAGGAAACAGCATAATGAAGAGACAGCCTTCAGAATGGGAGAACGTTGCAGCTATATATATGACTGGCGATTAATACCTAGAATTTATAAGGAGCATCAAACATTAAATAGTGCCACAAATTAGCCAATCAATAAATGGACTAGTGAATTCAGTGGACAGCTCTCACAGAAAAAAAGACTAGTGCAATAACTGAACAAGTGTTCAGCATCCTGAGACATCAGTGAAACAGACTGAAGCTGCTCTGAGACCCACGTCATGTCAGTCAGAATGGCCATCACAAAAATAAAAGAAAAAAGAAAAAACCAATTACAGAAAGTGCAGATGAGGAGATGAGGAGATGGGGGAGAGGAACCCATATATCCCACCGGGGAGAATTTAATTTGCTTCCTTCCTCATAGAAATCATTAAGAAAGTTTCTCAAAAAACTAAAAATAGAATTAGGCTATGACCAGCTGTACTGCTCTTTGGGTCCATTGTGATTCTGACTGTTAGCTGTTAACCTGACAAGACCTAGCATCCTCTGGGAGCTGTGCCTTGCAACATGCCTGTGGGTATTATCTTAAATATAGTAAGTGAGGCGGGAAGACATGCCCACTGTGGGTGGTACTCACAACCTACGGCTGAGATTCTGGACCACGAAAAGTGAAGGAAGCAAGCTGAGCTCTAGCTTGCTCTATGCTCTATTTGACTGCAGATGTGACCAGCTCCTGCTGCAGCAGTCTTCTTGTCGTGATGAACTATAACCTGGACATGTAAGCTAAAGACAGACCGTTCCTATGGTATGTTGTTATGTTACCTTTATCGCTATGTTTTCATCGCAGCAACAAGAAAAGAAACCAAGACAGCACGAGAGGGTTCCTAGTCAGTATAGCACTGCCCATTAATATTTAGTGTTGTACTGCTTGTTCACAACAGCCACAGAAGGTTTGGATCCAGCCTAGATGCCCATCAGCAGCAGATAGATGAATAAAGAGAATGTGATATGTACACATAATAGAATCTTATTCAGCTTTAAAGAGAAACAAACTGATCTCTATCACAGGAAAATGTATTCCATGGGTGGTCAGTCTATGAAGCTAAATAAGCCAGGCTTAAAAAGAAAAACATCACATGTTTTCTCCCATGAAGAATGTGGTTGTGTGTGTGTGTGTGTGTGTGTGTGTGTATGTGTGTGTGTGTATGTTTAGGCTATAAAAGGAGGAAGGAAACTATTAGAGAGTATGAATATGGAGGGATGATGGAGGTATCATAAAAGTTAATGAAATATATAGAACAGAAAATCAATTAGAATCATCAATGAATGAATTCAAAACTACTGAGACCACTGAGAAGTTGGGAGGGAGATGTGTACCCTGGGAGAAGCAAGAGAGGGAGACAACAGACCGGGGAACCACTTGGGAGGAGGAAGGGGTAAGCAAGTGTGGGAGAAAGAACATGGGTGAGGGAGTGAGTAAAAACAAGACATTAAATAATTTTATAGGAAAATGCTGCAATGAAACCCCATATTTAACCAAAAATGTTAATAGAATGCTTTTCCTTGTTATCTATAAACTCTGTGACTGTGTAGATGTACCAAAAATGGTGCCATATTTACATTCTTGAGACCTTTCCTGCTTCTCCAACCTAGTTTCTCTGCATTTTTTTATTTTACATTTTATTTATTTATTTTTTGAATCTTCCACACATGTACACAACGTGTCTTTAGCGTTTCTGCTTCTCACTCTCCATCTCCAACTTCTCCCAGGGTGCATGTCTTCTGCCCAACTTCATCTCCTCCTTTCGTGGTTTGTTAATTGATGTTTCTAACCCACTGAGTTCCAGCGGTCTTTCCCTTACGTGCATAGCCATGAAGTCATCCATTGGGGAATGGAGAAATTGCCAATGGTCACATCCTAAAGAAAAGTGATCCTCCCTCCCTCTGCAGTTGCTTCAACTTCCTCTATTCCTCGCCTTCCAGTAGCTCTTCATCTAGCAATTTTTAGTTGGTTTGATCTCAAGCAAGTCTCCTGTATGTAACCACAGCTGCTTTGGATTCATGCATGCTATAGTCCTGCCTTGTCCAGACGAGAGTGGTTCATGCATGCTATAATCGTGTCTTGTCTGGAGAAGACTGGTTGGTGCATGCTGTAGTCCTGCCTTGTCCAGAGGACAGCATTTCACAGCACTCCTTATCTTCTGGCTCTTACTTCTTTCCACACTCCATTCCATGATGTATCTATCCTGAGCCTTGAGGAGGGAAGATTGATTCACGTGTTCTATTTACAGTGGAACATGAAGTCACTAACTCTTAGCACTTTGAACAGTAAAGCATCTCTGCCTTAGCCACTACCCACGACAATAAGGAGTCTCGGAGCAGGATTGGGCGAAGCACAAATCTATGGGCAGAAACAGAAATATTTAGAAGGCACTTTGACAACATGACTAATTAGAAAAACATTAATAGGTTCTTCCCCCGGGCCTATGATCTCTCTAGTCATAGGTTTTGACGGATAATGTTTAAAATACTAGGCATGAGTACCCTGTGCTGCTGGCCTCAGATCCAATCAAGAGAGTGTCCATTTATCCTCACTACCACAGCAGTAGGCTCATCTTGCCTGCCGGGTCAGTATTGTAGCGTGCAGTATCTAGCTCTTGATGTGACCATAATATCTTTTCCCTCGGCAGCATAAAATAAAATCCTCTCTCTCCACCTCCTGCGTTTTACAGACTTTTCATGGCTATTTCTGTTCTTTGTAGCTTCTTGCTTAGGGAAGGATTTTGGTTTCCTGGCTCTTTTCCTTCTGCTTTTCCAACACTGTGATAGAATTTTACAAAAGATCTCATTTTTCCTTCCCTCTGAGGCTGGAGTGGGCAGGGGCAAGGAGTGGGATGGGGTGGGGAGGAAATGCGGCTGCTGAAGTTTCAGCCTGGACTTAGTGTGCCATCTGGAGGAGAGATAAGAAAGGGCCGCAGTTATTTAGATTGCCAAAATTTGGGGCTCGTCCTAACCTATAGGAATGTTCATGACACGTAGTACTTTATGCACACACAGTAAGAGAGGGTTTGACAATAATCTCTAGAGAAAGGGAGAACTTCTTCATAGTTAATGTTGAATGAGATTCAAGTGGACAGAGAAAAGATATAGGGCTGGCAAGAAGGAAAGAAGAGGCCCTTAAATGTGAAGGTTGGGGAATGTATTTAAAAGTTGGTCGTTTCCCTGAACAATTTCCATCTTCATCCCCTACAAAACATTGCTGAAGCCATTCTCATAAGAACTAACTCTTGAGTATAGGAAATGGGAAAGGGTAGATGTGTGTGGTGTTCTTCGTCATTTGATCTGACCATCAATACGATCAAAACTTATGTAGAAGAGAAAAGGAGAAAGACTAAAGTTGTATTGTGACTTCCTAGTAAAGATCTCTTTGAATTTCAGCAAATAGAATACTTTGCTATAAGGACAAGAGTTTGGGATTCTTGATTAGTTTTCTACTATTTTATATAGCCCACAAGTACCTATGGAAAATTGTCTTATGTGTTTGGTACTGTGTCATATATGGGAGATTCAACTTTAAGAAACATTGGTGTCACTTGTGCCTTAGTGTAATGGACTGCCTGATGGGGAGAGAACACTAACTAGACAATTGTAGGAGAGATGAGAAGTATTTCACGAATGCGTAGTGTGACCACAGATAAACCATGTACCTCGTCCTGATTCATAGCTGGGCATCTATTCTCTTTTAAGAGAGAATCTAGGGATGTAGGTCAGTGGTATTCACATGCTCAAGGCCCTAGGTTTGATCCCAAACATCCCTTGATCCTCTCGTGTTAAGCAAGTGAGTACCACTGAGGCATATCCAGGCTCCACAGATATATAGATAAATATGCTCCCCATAGATTCATATGTTTGAACACTTGGTCCACAGCTGATGATGCTGTTTCTGGGATGATGTGGAACTTTTGGATCTACCGAGAAAACATAGACTACTGAGAGTAGGGTAGGCTTTGAGGGATATAATGTGCTGCTTCCTATTTTCTATTTTGCTGAGGGATGAAAAAGGTAGATAGCAAGTTCCTGCAGTTTCCAGCACCACCATACCCTCCCAGAGACAAAGAACTCTATTCTCTTAAATCATGAACACAATTATACTTCTCCTACCATGAGGGACTCCTGTTACATATTTATCTGGTCACAGCAATGAGAAGAATAAATGATACTCTTGGTGACTCTTGGCCAAGTTTACCATCAGAAGTAAGCTATCTTGTGTTTAACTGTCCTCTCTCACATGCTGGGGCCCCAGCTATTAAGAGTAAGAAAGAGATGTGAACCCAGGAGAGTGTATTCCAGAGAAGATTCACTTTATTGACGTCTCAAGCAGCAGGCTGCGGGGTGCTTTAGTAAAGGAACTTTACTTGGGTTTTTCTGATATCCGGAGAAAGAAACTCAAGTTGGCAGAAACAAAGGCAACACTTTATTGACTTAGTAAACAAGACATTCTGGGTCCTGCTATGGAACTCAAGTCACTACTAAATCAAGATTCATGAAAACTATCATTGGAGACATAGCTCTTTCTCTTTGATATCTCATCCCTTTTTAAGTCATAGAGTCCTGTTTCTGTGAGTATAGTGCTACTACAAGACAATTTTAGGTTTATATGATTCATAGAAACCCTGATTTCAAGAATAAATTCTTTCCTAACTATGTTTTTGTGACTCATTAGGAAATCTGTGAGCATAGGTAGTAAAGTTACTGAGTCCAGCAAGTTGAGAGGTGTGGTTGACCATCCATGGATTCATGCCTACATTTTGTGATGGGGATGTTTGGAGATTTTGATTGACAGCATATTTCTGTCATGTAAAAATGAAAGTCAGTTCTCCATAGAAAATTTCACAAAACAGATGAAAGCATAAAGAATTCCCATATGTGTTTCTCTTTTAGCATATCTTGGGTTCCTGTCATTATGAACAGAACAGCTATGATAGATTGTTCTTTCTGATAAGGGCTGTAGAGATAGCACTGATGACTTATTTCACTAATTTATTTCTTTTCACTTTTCATGTGTGTGCATAGGATGCATTCATGTGTATATGGATGTGTGTATGTGTGCACATGAATGTGGAGGACAGAGGTTGATGTCAGGAATCCTTCTTATTTCTCCTTGGTCATTTTGAAATTCAGGTTTACTCACTTGTCCTGAAAGCCATATATATATAAGGTACATAGTTTAGCAATATTCATGTGCCATGAATTTGCAAAGACATTGATCAGCTTCTGTACACACACAGAGAATATGAAAAATGCTAAACAGAAAGGTCAAGAGGCAAATCAGGTAGCTTAAAATTAATCTAGAAGCAATATATTGAGCCATCTATATTGCAAGTTTTGAAAAATTACTGTCTAATTGAATCTGTTTTGCAAACGATGATTAAGATGATTCTGACAACTGAAGGGGTGAAAGTTACTCAACTTGAATTTTGTTGAATCATGAGGATTTTCTGTTGTGTCCAATAAATAAATTGTCTTTTCCCAGCTAGAACTTGTGTTGTGACTTCATTCTGTTCCCTTGGCTGTATACATTTTCATAGGGTTTTCCTGCCACTCTGGCAAATAGGCCAGGCTTTCAGCGACGTCATTTTGGACAGGCCAGCCCCAGGCTTCAAAGAAAGGGACCAGGTTCTTCCGCACAACCTCAGAGAACTTCTTCACCCACAGATTCATCTTGTCTTTGTTGTTTTGAGGAAAGCTAGAGAGGGATTGGTAGTCAGCAAAGATCTTGATGAATGCCTCCCACCCGAAGGCCTCCTGGAGCTGGAAAGAGAAAGAAATAGAAAAATGACATATACACCCAGCACGTCACCCCCTGAACTCATGCGCGAAACCACATTGGAATTTTAGTTATAAGCCATACTGTTATGTTGGTTTAATTTGTCAGTGGGCCTCCCATTTCTTTTCTTCTAGAAGCCTATCCCTGTGGCAGGTGTCGTATCTCAAACTGCTTCAGTACAATGTCAGAGGGATTTTTGGGTTGTTACTCATTTGATCCATATCAGGGTCTCGGTAAGCAGCAGTGAATTTGAGCGTTGCTATTCCTGTTGCTGCTAAGCTTAATAATGAAGATCTCAATCAGACTGAGGTGTGCTAGATTTCTTCATCTTGAGCAGGTAAACACTGCGGGTAGATGGCTGGGATCACTCTGTCTTAGATTCAGCAAAGAAAGATGTCTGGTTCATGTTCTATGACTCTGTGACCCTTAGGAATAACAGCACTGAGCAATAGTTAAAGCATTTCAGCCAGCACCCACTGGTCATTTCTTTCTTGCTCAACCTTAACCACAGCCTAGGCTAATAGGAGCTGTTCCACACTAACCCTAACCAACTGTCCTTGAAGGTCTGTGTGGATTTGGGAGTTATGCTGAGCAGCAGAGGCATGTGCTTAGACATAGCAGAAGCATGCACATACAAGCAGCATTAGAACACAGAGCAGGGAGTAGAGACCACCAAGGAAAATAATAAAGGAAAGAAGACTTCCTAGAAGCAACAAAGACGCTGATATTAAAAGCTACTTGGGGTTTCTTGATATGTAAAAGAGGTAGTTTCAGTTCAGAGAGAAAAAAGGAAACATCATTAGGAAATGCCAGCAAGATGAACCGTGGCCTGTCGTTCTAAAGAGAAAATGTTTGCAGTTGCTGCAGATTGAGTAACAGGTGGGAACTTGAACTGGATGGAGGTGGTTTGGCATTGTACCTGAAGGAGCAGAGAGCTACAGTTGGTAGTAGGTTTACATTGTTTTCCGGCAGCATTCTGCAAAAGAAATCCATCTGGGATCCCGTTTAGAGAGCAGGACATTGCCACGAGAGTACTGGAGAACTGGACTGGAAGGTGCTGGAGAGCTGAGCTCTGCTTGTGATGCTGGGTGTGGAAAATCAACAGTGGCGGGCGGGGCAGCTCCCCAGCCAGAAATTCAGACTCAGGCCCAGCCAGAGCAGCAGCCTCTCCCGCATGGACTTTGAAATAAACTTGAATGTCAAGGTTTTGACTGACACCATGACTGGATCCAGTAGATTCTCAGACAGATTTCTTATTAAGAAGGAAGCTAGTGTGGTCCAGAAGTTATCTCAGACTCATTTAAATCGCACAGGCAGTGAAAACACAGAGACAGAGTGCGCTCATGCCTAAAGCATTGAAACGAGGCCCTGGGTTGATCTTTACAAATTAATTGGGTCGTCAGCAAGCAGCTCATTTCTGCTACCCTGGAAGTTCTAGCAAGTAGTATGGCTATATGGATATTTTTCCAATGTATTTCCCACAGGTGGTGAGGACTTAGACGGGAAGGGATTTTCAAATGCTATGAAATACTGCACATTACTTATTTTATGGTGAAGCCTGACTTTATTCACATTTGAGGCTTGCTTAAGAAGATAATATTTTGAAGAAATTCTTACCAGATCGCAGTCCCTACACTCCGTCTTCATAATACATTGTTGGAGTGGGGTGACCTTAATTTCTCCTAAGGTAGCAACGTAAATCAGGAGAAACTCTTTGCATCTGACAAAGCTGAGTTTTCCTGCTGATTTCCTGAGTACAGCTATTTGATTACATTGTATTTGCCATAGTGATCCCACAAACTTTTATTTATTTCCACAGCTATGTGGTTGGGTATTTAGGTATCTACATATTAACCATATCATATGTATCATGCCCGACCCTCAGCAAGATGCCACCCTTGGCCTATCTCCCATATCCTGGAAGGACAGGCACTGTGCATGGATGTTGGGATAACTGGCAAGTCTGATGGCTCCCACGTCACTGAATATTTGCTCAGTACCTGGAGATAAGTCTCTAGAGCTGTCCAGACAACCCAGTTACTCAGGGGTGCTCCCTTGGCCAGGTGGTTTTTGATCCTCTGCTTCCGAAGATCAGGGTTTAGAGAACGGTGGGCCTGATCCCTGTGGATGTTCAGAACAGTCTCATGCACATAAACACTCCAGAGATTACACAAGGCTTCAGTGGTGTGAGGTGGGAAACTCCATATTCCCTTCTGTTGGTTGTGACCCAGCTCATGGATCACACCCCAGCTACCATGTGATCTTATGGTGACCTCGTCAACCAGGCCTTCGGCTATGCTAGTGTGGCCCATGATGGGGTATCCAGAGTGCAGAAAACCTGAGGAAAACAACAGGAAATAAGTGAAGAAATGACACATGTAATGTAGACCACATCTCCACTGTCCCAGAAGCCCCAGGATACACTGAGTAAGTGCACTTGGGCTCCATGCACTGCCTAAGTTTATTTGCAGCCCATCGGGCTTTCTTCTCTTTTTCTTGGACAGAGTTTGACATTCATCTGCCTTTCACTGTGAAGGGTAGGTGTATATGGACTGTAATACTGACTGGCATCATCCAGGATCTCCTCTATTTTTAGCTAGGTTACGCATGCATGTCATGACGTCTTGTGTGTATGTGTCCAGCACTGAGGGAAAATAATAAGATTCTCCCCCCCCCCATTTAGTCTTAATCTTAAGGAATCATTTTGAACCTCTGCAGATGGCAATTAGTTTTCTCATTGTTTCCTACACATCTGTTATTTAACCTGTTTCATTCAGCATTAACAAGTCCTCTTGTCTCTGCTGAAACCTACTGAGCATACATCTCTTGTCTTTTCTCTTCCCCAGCTTTAACTCCATTCAATAGTCTTCTGTAAGGACACATGAAAAATCCACAGATTTTGCTTTTTGCTCCTAGTTTCCTATGTTTCCTAGTTTCTTGCATTTTTAAGATTAAATGATGATGGACTATGTTCTCCACTGATCTCTACAAAATTCGGTTCAGTTGAAGCTCAACTCTCAGAGCATCCCTATGGAGTACCTACCAAGTGAAATCTGTTTATCAAGCACAACCCTCTCGGGTCTTTGGAAAGGGAAGTGTGTGGCTGCCAATCTTGCTACAGCCTGGAGCATCTTATCCCAGAGTTGGAGCAGTGGGAATGGGTCCTGAAGGACCTTGAGGTTTCCTGTTGGGACTGTCAGGATAATATTCTCTGTGGCTAGTTCTCCCCAGGGAGCTTTGCTGTGCTTGATAAGCTTCTTCCATTCCTCCTGTGTCGTCTCACCTGGAAATAAAGATTACATACCACTTTTTCCGAATTTCAAGTTAACTGTAGACCACACAGAGAGATAACTTGGTAATAAATCTCTTTTTGTCTTTCTTTGTCCTCCTTTTTTAACCTTCTAGACCCTAGAAGAGGTATTGATACTTTTTAGCTCCCTCTCTGTCTCGGGACTCACATTTCCTCAATCATTCCATTGCCTCTCTCAAGCCTGGTCCCTTCTCTCCTTCCTGTTTCCCTCTGTTCTACATCCCATTGTGAAACTGGGTCTCTTACTCACCCATTCTGTAGTATGGAGCAGACACAGCCCCACTGATGGTGATCGACACATTATCCTGATTGTACTTGGGGGGAACAACGATGTAGAGAAGCCCCCCATACAGCCAGGAGATGGACTTCGGGGATTCATTTAAGTCATGTGTGTATGTCATCACAGGAGGACGGTTGTAAGCCTTTGCTTCACTTATGTTATCCGTGTGGCAACCAATGAGGACCTATCATAATGAGCATAAGTCATCATGAGAATGGCCAAACCATTTCCTCTCTGTATGGATTTGTATATGTGTGTAGGAGGCCTGCCAGAGGTGGCGAGAAGAGAACCTCAGAATGACAAGGGTCATATGTATAAGTAGAATATTGCTGTTACTTATCCACCTTCTCAAGGGCACACTTACTTGTTCATAACCACTCATTGTTCTCTGTAGAGTTTGAGGATTTAAAAAATTAAATCTAACTAGTTCCAATGTAAATATTGACTCAGAAAGCAACTGCCCATGTCTCTGCTTTGGGTCTCCACAAGCAAGGACTGTGGAAATGGCTTATGGAGTTGAAGCTTGGAAAACATTTGGATAGTATTTTGGATTCTCCAAGAACAAAAAACGAGAGAAGCTTTGAGAGTAAGCACAAGATGGAGAGGGGTTGAAGGGAGAGCATTTCTAAGCATCAGTCATGCACCAAGATTCAGCCTTGCAATGACTACTGTCTTTGTCTATAAAAAGAGGGTCTGTTCTGACTTAACCATCTGGTGAAGGTGTTGGGAGAATCTAAAATATTACTGAAGAGAGTCAGGAGATTCTCTCTAAGTTTGAGGCTGGCCTGGTCTACACAGTGAGTTCCAGGAGAGCCAGGGCCACACAGAGAGACCCTGTCTCGAATAAACAAACAAATTGCTAGAAGAGAATGTAAAGCTGGTATGGACATGTCAAAAATTCACTTAATGGGGAACGAATGCTTTACCTTCAGCTTGGCATTAGTGACTTCACTGGGAAGTGTTATTTGTGCAACCTGACCTTCAGGCAAGTAGAGTCCAGTGCTCACCCAGGAATTGCGGTTGTCTGACAAGAATCATAAGAGAGGTTATCATCTTTCCACCTTCAGCCCAGAACTCTGACTCCACCAACAGAGCTACTCGGTCTCATTGACCCTCCTTTAACCACCCAAGCTGCCTGTGTTCCTAAACTTCCCTTCTTAAAAGTTTATAGAAAAGAAAGAAAATGGACTTTTGAGTAGAAAGTGCTGTGTAGCAAGGCTGATGCTTATCAGCCCCTTTTCTCTAGTCCTGAATGCCCAGGGTCCCCTCTCCATTTCTTACCTTTGCTGATTTTAATGACCATGGGAGATTCTGTGGGGGGTAGTAAGGAGGGAGGAGGAAGTAGCTGAGATACGGCAACTCCAGATTTGAATAATTCATAAGCCAGGAAAAGCAGAAAGGCCTGAGAGCTGCCATTTAAGACTGGGTGTTCCTCAGTCACAGTTGGGAAGCCCTTGTTTTGGATGATTTTCAGGGCATGTTTCTTCACAGAGTCATAGACAGAAATCCTCTGATGTGTCATTTGAAACATGTAGGAACAATCTTTCACGAGCTTCTCCAGCCATCTCTCTTGAATTATGGTCTCCTGGCTGTCAATCATGGACTCAAATTGGGCCAGGGTTCTACGGATATGATAGTTTATCACCTGAGGATTTGGGACTGGGAAGGAGCCTCGCTTGACTACCTGGCTTAAGATGCCAAGGCCAAAGCATTTAAGGATGGTGTTATTTGGGCACTGAGTCATACACTCAGAGTCTGGGTTCCTGCGGCCCCATTGCCAGACCTCTGCACCAATTAGCAAGCCTCCGCCTTCTGCAACAAATTCTTCTACTTTCTTGGCATCTATGCCAGTGAATGAGCAGCAGCAAAAGACACTCAAATCACTGGTCAGAAGTTCCGTTTCACTCCACTGGAAGCTGCTGCTTGGTAACATAGACTTCAGGGCTTTCATTTCTGAAGCCAACCCAATCTTGCCTGTCTGATGTCCCATCAGCCAGCGCAAAGCATTGAGCACAAACGGCAGCATTGCTTCATTAATCATCAAACTCTCATGTCCTCCCAACACCACACGACCACGGCCATAGCGGGCAGCTGCGAGAAAGCAATTGAATGAATTGTCCGCTCCCAAGGGAAAGGCCCGCTGCCCATGTACCAGCAGCTGGGAGGGGACAGGTCCTGTCTTGATGTCTATCTCAGACAGCCCTTCCAGGAGTTGCTGCTGGTCATATTTGAGCTCATCTTCACACCTGGAAAGAGACAGTTCTCACATTACTGAAGAGGAATGAGTAGAGACAGGGTGGCAGAGATTATCCAGGACCTCGGCGCTTTTGGTACAAAACCTTCTGCATGCCTTTAATCCTAATATTCTGGAGGCAGAGACAGGCAGACCTCTGTGAGTTCAAGGCCAGCCTGATCTACTAAGCAAGTTCCAGGATGTCCAGGGCTGCGACATAGATAAACTCTGCCTTGAAAAAGAAAAAAATGAAAAAAAAGAGTGAACGGAAGAGAGGCGTGTACATCTCGCTGTGACGCATCTTCAAATCTACTTTAACTGGGAGTGTTTAACATGACAGTACCTCTATCTATCGTACAATAAAGCTTAATATACCTGTAGAACTCATCCTAGTGAAATTTCCCAGAGGGAATTGCTGCAAGTTGCTTCTTTGAATCATTAATAGTATTAAATTAACTGAGTGTGTAAATAGCCTGCCTTTGGAAATAAGTCACAGTGGTAGAGCACTCACCACACGTGTGTATGAACTTGGGTTTCAACCTCAATACTGGAAAAAATTAACAGAAACAACAACAAAATAATAAAACTGGAAATGATTGTGCTGAAGGAGAGAAACCAGACTCACAAATGCTACTTTTCCCTCCATATGCAGAATTTTTTAAATGATATAAAGGTAGAAGGGGGATTCTTTAGGAAGAGGACCAGTGGGGACAAGGAAGCCAAGAGAGGGTATTGAGGTGACTATGAGGAAACTGTTTCATGTGTATGTGCAGTGCTAGCCTAACCCAATCCATCATTTTGTACAATAAACATAAGTCAATAACAAAGAAAATAAAGGGAATGGACAGAAAGGAAAGGGAAATGCAGGAGATGGAAGGGCAGAAGAGGGAAGGAATGGGAGGGAAGGGGGAAGAGGAGAGGAAGGGAAGATGAGAGGAAGGGAAGAAAAAAAAGAACAAAACTGATCACAGCAGGTATGTGTCTCTGTATTTCAACAAAACAAGAAAACCACAAAACAAAATAAAACAAAACAAAAACTCCAGGCTATTGAGTAGAATGTGGGAGGAAGTATTGGCAACATGTAAAAAGGATAAAGAAGCAGTTTCTGTAATACGGGAAGGACAATTGATAATCAGTAAGAGGAGATGAAAGTTAAGTGGAATAATTGAGGAGCAGACATTTCAAGAAAGAGGCATAAATTGCTTTGAATATATAAAAAATTTCTGCACTGGTAATCAAATAACACAAATGAATAAAGTTTCTCTATCCCATGGTGACAATTCATTAAGCCAAAACTTGTCATTTTCCGCACTGGTAATAGTACAGGCTATATTTTGCTGTGAGCAGAAGTCAACATGGCTTTTGTAAATGGTAGTTTTCAATTTCAAAAGACATTTCATAACAAATATTTTGAGTCAGGCCTTTGCCTGATTGGACTAGGTGTAAAAACTTGTATGTGCTGAGCTGTAGATGTTCATGTGGAAGCTTCAACAACGAATATTGATAATAGCTTCACCCTCTGCGCTTCTTCATCCTGCCAGAGCAACTCTCTCCTGTTCGTTTGTTGTCTTTTGTTTTTCCAGATAAGGTTTCTTGGTGCAGCTCTGGCTGTCCTGAAACTCACTCTGTAGACCAGATTGGCCTTGAACTCAGAGACCCTCCTGCCTCTGCCTCCTGGGATTAAAGGTGTGCACCATCACTGCCCAGCACACTAGTTACTCTTAATGGAATCTTTCAGGAAGGAAAATCATCATGCATTTGATCCAATCCTACAGTCAAGGGAAAACTACTTGTTTCTTTTTTATCTAATTTTTATTAGATAGATAGCTTATTTTTTAAATCTAATCTTTATGAAGATCCTGCTCTACTATGGAAGACGATGCTGCAGGGCTGCCTCTAGCTGTCTCACCACACTTTGCCACTTTAGCTCAGGTACTGCCCTTTCCTGAAGGTCCACTTTGCTTCAGGAGAGAGGCTCCTGAATGTGAAGCTACACAGTTCATTCATGTCACATTTTCCTACCTATCTCTGGAATAGATTAACATTGGGCTTCATTGACTGATTTACTCAACAGTACCAGATCTTGCATGATGTTCTAACAATACAATGGTAAGCAAAACAGACATAATTCATTTTTTAAATTTCTGTGCGTGAGGGATGATGTGTATAAACGGTATTTACTTGTATGTGTGCTCACAACTATCTGCAGATGAAACTCTGAGTGTGTGTATACCCATGGTGACATCAATCTAGTGTTTGGAAGTCTTCCTTGATCACTCTCAATTTTATCTCTTAATGCTGAATCTCTCAATTGAACCCAGAGCTTCACCCGTTCAGGTAGCCTACATAGCCAGCTTCTTCCAGGGATCCCTCTACCTTCCACATACTGGAATTGTTCAGGAGCCTCCATGCCAGCCTAGTATTTGTTGGGGTGCTAGGGATCTAATTCTGGTCCTCCCACTTGGTTGGCAAGGACTTTTCCTTCTAAGCCATCTCCCCAAATGTGAAAAAACACAATTTATTTCTCATATATTTTGTAAACCTTTTCTGTACTTACCTTCAAGTTGTAACCACTCCTTTATAATTACTTATAATGAGGGCACTCAATTGTAAATAAAACAAAATACTCCAGTCTCAAGGTATTAAATAGCAAGTCTATTACTAGAGAACATAAGATAGTGTTGCTTAACTAATATAATGGTTCATATAGGAATGACCCCCATAGTCTTGTATCTGAATGCTTATTCTCTAGGAAGTGGCACTATTAGGAGATGTGGCCTTGTTGGAGGAAGTGTGTCACTGGGAGCAGGCTTTGAGATTTCAGAAGCTTAAACCAGGCCCAGAGTCTCTTTCTTCCTCCTGCTTGCCAATCTAAATGTAGAATTCTTGGCTCCTGTTCCAGCACCATGTCTGCCTGTGTGCCATTAAGCTTCTCACCATGATGATAATGGAGTAAACCTCTGGACGTGTAAGCCAGCCCTGATTAAATGTGTCCCTTTCTGAGTTCCCATGACCATGGTGTCTCATCACAGAAATAGAACAGTAACTAAGACAACTACCATAGGTGAAAACTACATTAGTATTTATAATTATTTAACTCCGTGATAACCAACTTATCCACTGCTAAACTGAAAGCTCCTTTTAAAATAGGGTAATTGGGTAATTGACACTTAACAAGAAAGGGAAACGTCACTTACTTGACATAAAGCGTGAGATTGGGTATCTCTTGAGAGACATCGAGCCAGTCTCTACTCCCACAGACATCTGTGAAGTACACGCCAGCCACACTTGTCACCTGGTTCCCGGGGAAACTGGACAGCACTTTGTCATGGCCATGTTGACTGGCCCAATACCAGGCCTGGCCCCCGATGAGCAAGCCCCCACCGCGCTTCACAAACTGGACCAGCTTCTCAGTCAAACTGTCATTGTAGGCATCAGTGCAGTAAACACCCGGAGCCTCTCCAGGCTCAGGCTGAACCAGCGCCTCTAGACCAGAATAACGAAGGATGTTTACCAGTGATGCCAAGGAGGAATGCACTGTGATGGGAGCCCCTTTGGAGGGGCAGAGCCAGTTCACTGCGTTTGCAAGAAATGGGGCCAAGTTAGTATGCAGCAGGTAACTCTCATGGGATACGACAACCAGGCGGCCTCGGCCATAGGAAGAGGCAGCAATGAGCACCTGGCCCTTAGCATTCACCATCACTGGGAAGGCAGCCTCCCCAATAAGAAGGAGTTCACAAGGGATGTAAGTTTTAGGAAGATCCCAGCTGGTCACTCCATTCATGAGGGTCTCAAAAGCAGCATCAGGATTTGTTGCCATGGTTCTTCCAACTGCTGCAGAAGACACAGAGACTCAGGATGTGAATGAATAAACAGGAACTAAATGAATAAAAGCAATATGTATTCTTTTACAGTGTTTTGCACAAGAAAGTCTGGACTCAAGCTTAAGAAGTTAGAGTGCATCCATCTATGTGTCTAGGAAGGAGAAAAAGAAAAGATATCCTGAGTAAATTGGGAGCATGGCAACCACAGGGGAGGGGAGGGGAGAGAGGGAAGAAAGGAAAGGGAGTGAAGAAAATGTATAGCTCAATAAAAATATTTTTTAAAAGAGTATAGAAGGAAAGAAGAAGAAGAAGAAGAAGAAGAAGAAGAAGAAGAAGTGTAAGAAGAAGAAGAAGTAGAAGAAGAAGTAGATGAAGAAGAAGAAGTAGAAGAAGAAGAAGTAGATGAAGAAGAAGAAGTAGAAGAAGAAGAAGTAGAAGAAGAAGAAGAAGAAGAAGAAGAAGAAGAAGAAGAAGTAGAAGAAGAAGTTGTTAGAGTACTTACCTCTCGCTTCTCCCTTAGGATGTATTTTCATCACTCAGTTCTTGCTTTCTCTTTCCTTACTTCTACCCAGATGCTCCCTATAACTCTCTTCCATTGTTTTGACTCTTTTTTTTCTGACTCCGTGCTGCCCACCAGCTGCTCTTCATTTATAAGATCCCCATGGCTATGGCTTCTTTAAGGTACACAAATCCTTTATTTTGCTAGGCATATTACAGTTATCAGCTCCATTTCTTATTTGTGAGGAACTAAGCTCATCTTTCCAAAAGAGCAAACATATGAACTTATTTCTTTCCGTGTAAAGATGATACTATCAGCCTTGAGAGGTCTGATGTGAAAGCTGGTTTGTTTAGAGACTGGCGTATACATCTGTCAAAAGCCGACTCCTGTTTGTTTATCATTCTCCCCAGTTACTCAGAATGATGGGGAGCAGCACATTTGCCCTCTTCTTTTCTCCATTTCAAACACCCCATCATCAAACTTCACAGCATATGAATCCCATCTCTTTCCACTCTTGGCATTCCTAGCCTGTTTCAGGACCTTAAGATTTCAGGCTTGGACTACACCAGTTATCACATGAGCTCTCCTGGTAAGAAACCCTCACTGTTGATTGGCTTTAATGTCAAGTAGGCACAACCTAGACCCTCCTGGGAAAAGAATCTCAACCAGGAATTATCCTGACTGAGTTGGCCTGTGAGCATGTCGTGGGGATGGTTGCCTGGACTGTGAATTGGTTGGTTTTTTTTTTAATTTTTATTGATTTTTATTAAGCTCTACATTTTTCTCTGCTCCCCTCCCTGCCTCTCCTCTCCCATTCAACCCTCTCCCAAGGTCCCCATGATCCCAATTTACTCAGGAGATCTTATCTTTTTCTACTACCCATGTAGATTATTAGATCTATGTATGTCTCTCTTAGGGTCCTCATTGTTGTCTAGGTTTTCTGGGATTGTGGTTTATAGGCTGGAGTGGAAAGACCCAAGGAGGCCCTTCATGTGTTGGGTCCTGGATTGTGCAAGAGTGGAAGAAGCTAGCTGGGCCCTCAGCAAGCAAGTAGTAGGCATGATGCATTCATTTCTCTATGTTCATCACTGGGGATGTGGTGTGACATTCTTAAGCTCCTACCCATATGAATCCCCTGAAATTATAGACTGCAACCCGAAACTGCAAACTAAAATAAATCTTTCCACCCCTAAGTTACTTTTTTGTCAGGGTCTTTGTTGGCTCAGGAGAAACAAAACCAGAGAAGGCGCCTCATTCCTGGAAAATGGGAACCTTTCTTTCAGCCTGCAAATGACGTCCCGGTGTGCCTCGCCATGGCCTTTCAGCTTTATATCCCATTCTAGTCTCAGTAAAGACTATTTAAAAACAACATGAATCTGCCTTGCGATTTTGAGTCTGCAGCAGCTCATTTCCTGCACACTGCCCTTTTTTTCTTTCCCTGGTTTTACAGTTTCCCAATACTCATTTACTAAGAGAAGTCAGGTGACCAAGTTTCTGCCTTTATACTGACCACAGAGACTAGTTCATAGAAAGTACAGGATACAGGATTTTAGATGCAAAACATGACTTTGGTTCATGTTGAGGTCACATTGTGAACAGGTCTTGTAATAGGAATAACGTGCCTTCCCAGTGAGAGATCACTCCATGCACTTAGAGATGAAGGGAAAGCTCTTTGCCAGTGTGCCTAGCTGACTGCGCCTAAGGCCCAAAGAAGAGTTGGGCTTGAACAGAAGGTTTTACCAGCTTATGTACAATTTAGGCTTATGCATTCCCCAAATACTGTCATCTTCAAATCTCTTTTGTCTTGGCCCCAGGACTTTGAAGAATTTGGACATTTAAACAGAGACAGGAGACTGTAAGTCTGGTAGCTTAGGCAGATAGGATTTACACAGCAAAGCTGTTGCCAGAGTTATTTCTTAAGTACACCTGTGTTGCTCTTTCAAAGAGTTGCTACCCAGGATCATCTTGCTCAACTGGAAGAATTGTGTTTTTCCTGATAAGAGCACAGGGAACTTAATGGCAGACTAGACTCAGTGGTGGTTGTAACCCTGTGCTGCCCCTCTTCAGCTGCCTTGGAGGTATGAGTTTAGGGATGGGCAAAATGACTGAATGTAAGTCAGGGCCATTTCTTTATTATTGGCATGGAGCCTCATGATAGGTGGATAAGCATGCACATCCTAGCATCCTAAATGTAGCTTGTCTCTCACAGGCCTGATTATCAGACTTCTTTGGGGTATTGTGGAGGCAATGTTCCTTTACTTAAATTCCCATTGTGTGACTTAATGTCTCCTAAATAAATCTACTAGTAAATCTTTTATAACCAAGGTTCTCAACCTGTGGGTCTCAACCCTTTGTCAAACTTTTGTCTCTAAAAATATTTACTTTACGATTCATAACAGTAGCAAAACTACAGTTATGAAGTAGCGATGATGTAGTTTTATGCTTTGGGGTCACCACAACATGAAAACCGTATTAAAGGGTCACAGCATTAGGAAGGTTTAGAGCCACCGCTGTAGAGCATGCATTTGATTATTTTGCATTTCTTTGATATCCATAAAGCACTGAGAGTCTTCCCCAGCTGACTGCACAGCCTAACTGCACAGCACCTTTCTAGTTATCAAGGTTGTTGAGTGAGTGAGAGGAGAGCCTTATCCATTTTGAGAAGAATGAAGGCTAAACAAGATGCTTCAATTTCAGCACTATCTCAACCTGTCAGCTATAGCAGGGCGACTGGTTTTCAGACAGTTCATAGGCTTGCTTACCCCATGCAAGTTTCAGAAAGAGCAGGTGTAAGCACACTGCCCTCTCTGAGTTCTTTCATGTAGCTGCAGATTAGCTCTGCTTAACACAAGGATTCTTTGTCTCTTATTGAGGTAGCCAGAGACATAGGCAAAGAAAGCTTTACTTTGACAAAGAAATGGATAATTTCTTCCCTTTAAAAATATTTATTTTTTATTTTATGTGCATTGGTGTTTTGCATACACGTAAGTCTGTGTGAGGGTTCAGATCTTGGAATTACAGACAATCGAGAGCTGCCATGTGGGTGCTGGGAATTGAATCTGGGGCTCTTGGAAAAGCAGACTTAAATCGTAAGCCATCTTGCCATTCCAGAAATGGATACTTCCAATCAACCAATTCTAGAAGGAATACTATTCACATTCAGCATCATTTCAGAAGCAAAGCTAAGGATCCAGAGCGAGGTTTAAAAACCCATCTACTGGCTTTGCTTGAAGGGGAAAGGGTAGTGTTTGGTTCCTCAGGTCAAAGGAGATCTTATCAGAAATTATAGGTGTGAGAGAACCAGTCCAGAATGTGGAGAGAGAAACATGTTGTTACTACCTAATGATAGGGGACAGGAGGCCATGCATAGGGTAGGTGGCCCATGGAATCTGCTAACTTCAGCATGTGTAAGTGAAGGATAAGGAGCGGGCATCTTGGATGAAAGGGCATGTGTAAAGATTTGTTTTAAGGACATAGCACAAATCTTTTTTCAAAATCTGGTTATCAGGGTGGGTGAGATGGCTAAGTGAATTAAGGGGCTTGCCATTATTAAACTTGATAACCTGAGTGTGGCACCTAGAACCCATATGGTGGAAGGGGAGAACTGGCCCCCAAGAGTTGTCGAGTTGTCCTCTGACTGACTTCCATATGGACGGCACCTCTCTCTTTCTCTCTCTCTCTCTCTCTCTCTCTCTCTCTCTCTCTCTCTTCTTTTTAATTTTTAAAGCAAGCTCTCTAACCCAGGCTGGCCTCAACATCTCAACTGATGATGACCCTGAACTTCTGATTCTCCTGTCTTCACTTCCTGAGATCTGACGTTACAGACATGTACCACTATACCCATTTTTGCAGTGCTGAAGATCAAACCCAGGGATTCATGAATGCTAGTCACGTTTTACCAACTGAGCCCAAACCCAACACATATGCCTTTCATGGATAGATGGCTCAACATGACACCATCTTTCTGTATGCTGTGGTTTGTGTACAATTTCCCCCCTCAGAACTTAAACCGAGACTGATTGCTAATGTAATATTAGTGAAAAGTGATGGGCCCTTAATAGGTGATCAGGTCTTCAAGAGGGATTTATGCCTTTTCCCAGGAACTTGGAAAATTCTCTCTTGGGTCTAGATGACTTCTGAGAGGATGGGTTTGCACAAAGTGAGGCTTCTCCTCATGTTTTCTTCCATATGGGCTAGTGTGCCCTTCCCTCTTTCCAGTATAAGGTGAAAAAACACAAGACCCGGACTATTGTCTGCTAGATCTTGGACTCTGAAGCCTCTGGATCTATGAACCTAAATTACCATATTTTGTTTATAAACCACACGTTTTAGGGTATTTTTTTACAGTAATAGAGAATATAATGAACCATAGTGTGACCACGACTGGTTTGAGAGATCTGCTGGCTTATACAGGGAAAGAATAGCTTAAAGAGAAAGAAGCTGATTTCTTAGGATAGAGCTAGCATTGCAACTGAAGAGGCTGGAAAATCTCAAAGCTCAGGTCACTTAAGCAAGGGTTATGGACATAGATCTCTCAAGACATAAATCACAGACTCACAAGAAGCACAGTCTCCGTGTCCCTTAAATGTTTAAGGAAGTCTCCAAGCCAAGCACCACCTTCCAAGAGGAAGCAGGAAGAAGGATATAACTCAAAAATGATCATACCTCCTTTTTATGTACAAAATCTCCAGATCGTCCATCCTATGTCCACACAGATATCCTTTCTCCTTGGGTTGGCCTGTGATCATATCTATAGAGGAATGCCTTAATTAAGTTAATTGATGTTGAATTAACCAAGACACTGTGGGTAGTACCATTCCTTAGGCACTACCTAAAGGTACAAACCTTAGGGATTGTGGTCAAATTCCATTGAAGAATTTCCTCTGAAGACCCATTCCTTTTCTTTGATCTTCAATTAGGAACTGGAATATCTCTACTAGTCAGATGGAGCCAACTGGGGAATTGTGAGTTGGGTGTCTGTCACTGGGGTAAGAGGCACAAAACAATGTGCTGGTCTAGGTCATGGGCAGATTAGCTGTGACTAGCTGTGACCTCTCTAAGATTCCCAGGATGAGTGCTGATTCATCCATGACAACTAACTCACCAAAATCAATA